TCAATACTCAATTATAACTTTTTATAAACTTTTTTGTTAATGTTTTTTTTTCTGTTGAAAAATTAACAAATTGAAGCCCAAAACTTGAGGACAAGTTTATTTATGAAGGTCAGTGTTCACAACTTGTAAGAAAAATAATACAGAAATAGACCATTTTCCGTACACTGTGAGAATCACGCGTTATGCGTGAAATCGAACGTAAAAACAGGACAAACAAAGGTCATAGCGTCGTAGTGGCGTCAAACATCGCGTGGGATTCGACAAACGCGAAAGTATTTTGGGGACATTTCCATGCTTATTAATGTGCTGTCCACCTTTGATGATAGGCAATTTCGATTAAGTAAGGGTATTCGAAAGCAATATTCCTCTGTCGAAGATCGGCCGGTCGATGTGAGTTACGAAATAAAGAAATTCTAGTTCAAAATCAATTTTTGCGGCAGACGTTCGACGCGCGTCTTTCATGCATCTCGCGAGATCTCGCAATTGTACGGAAAATCACCTATTGTAATCCCATCCTCCAAGTGCAACTAGAAAATTTTACAAAAAAACACTGAATATTGTAAAAAGTAAAGTACATGTATAGTATACATGTAGGTTATTGTTCTAACTACAATGTACCAGTATATAGAATTACCCAGTGTTTTTAGTTTCCTGTATTGCCATACTAACTGCCCAAGTATATATGTTATAGATACAGCATCAACAGAATTCTATAACCACAAGATCACAACTGAAAGTAGCTTTGTGCACAACTGAAAGTAGCGTGTTTAAGCATTGAATTCTTATGAATAATAACTATTGTATTTGTATTATTTTCTAGTTAAAACTTGTAGTTCTTATGATATACAAAGATACATCTTTAAAATATTATTTTGATCAACAAGTAGAGCAAATAGGGTACATTACTAAAATAGCACCAATCTTCCACTGTGACACTGCAAGGATGGTAATTGGTGTCAATGACCTGCTACTGTATATCTACTGGCACACTCAAGGATGCAAGGAAAGTACATAATTTTAATAGATTCAACCTTTATAAGCCAGACGGTTCACATAACTTCACACAAGATCAAATATTACAATGATTGGTCAGTTGGCTCTCCTATTTACAACTTATCTATTTGTCATGTACACTTTTCATGCAAATTTTAATTATATGCTACGTTTACACATTTGCATGCTTGGAACATTAGAAATCTGAACTACCTGACCTACAGTAACATGCTCCTACTAGGTTTATTTAGGTTGTCAATTGTTACACATATCACAACAGTTGAATAATTACAAGATGGTAGATTGCATGACAGATTTAGCATTTTTTTATCTGACGTGTAAACTTTTGTATTTGAGATACTAGTACCTAAATCGTAACACTATTGCATTGTCTCAGATTGTTTCTTTTTTCTCTCAGCTCAACAGGATAATACTCTGACATGCATTGTGCCAGGTGAAGACAACACAAGCATGACATAAAAAATTATTTTCAGCCATGTTGTTTTTATAAGTAATTGAGAACGTTGTTATGTTTGGCTCTGAACGAACTGGATTGAATTTGGGCAGATCTCTGCTTTCGTTCTGCCCGACCGTGTAAACGCATTGGAGATAATAATGTCTTGTTCATCGATGGGAAGAGCAGTAGTTTTTAAAACAATCTATTGCATATTTTACAAAATAGCCATGTGAGAAGAGGAATCACTTCTTATATGCATGGGGTAAATTAGAACAATCTGAAACTTTCTGTACAACAGCAATGTGCAAGATAGTTCACAAATTTATTTTTTATTAAATTTAAAAGTACATTATAACAAGATGGTAGTAATAGAAGATAGTAGTTATAGAAACCATTGAGCCATAACATTATACAAAACAAGAGCTGGGAAAATAAAGCGTATTTAGAGGTGTGTTTTGGAGCAATGGATTGGCGAACAGGCAGAAAAGCAATTTCAATGACTTTGACGTTGTTTTAACGAAAACTGGAAGTATACATGAGGGTACGTGTTATTATTTATTTTGGAAACTCAATTTTTAACTGAAGGAATTAAACTAAATTAAATAATCATGTTTGTTTATTTTAAACATTAGAAATGACTACTTTTCAACTCGGGACGTTTAATCGTACTTAGCATATGTTACTATGACAATCAACCAATTTGAGAAAAACAGTTGACAATGACTAAATGCATAGCCACAGCTAAATCGCTGTTTAATTGAAATAACAAAAATCAAAGAAAACAGAGAACTCTGAGACAGGAAGAGAAACACAAGCAATGTAGTCGAACAACATGCATTACGGCAGCCATGTTTGTTTCACCTCGATAAATACAGTATTTCCCACGATGCACTATTCCCATAAGCGTGGGTATGTGGAAGTTCATAGCCAAGCGTACTGCGGTCAGGAACAAAGTAAGAAATTACGTGACGAGACCATCCCGATTTGCCGTTGATTTCCGGGTTCGGGTGCGTTTCATACAAGAAGATCGATACGCACTACACCGCGGAGTGTAGTAGACATAATCTCGATGGCAATAGGATGTTCGAAGGAAGCTAATACAGTTGATTTATAACAGTGAAGTAAACGGAAATCACTTTTCAGTCCTCATTGAGGCCCAAACGTATTCAAATGAGTTGGTAAACAAGGGACGGTGGCAACTCCACGTTGTGGCAAATTTACACACTACTAAAGTTCGACTAAAGTTTACAAACACCACGGCCAGTCACACAAAGTCCCCCAAATTCAAAAGGGATTTTTAAATGTGCTGGGGAACACAAGACAAACAATTGTGCATACATAGATGACGACTCCACATTATAACGCAGTGTGAAAATGGCAATTTAAACTTTGCTTGCAGAT